CCCCCATTAAAAAAAAAAAAAATTCACCAGTGTGTTCTATTCTGCTGGAATGGACTTATGCAGAAACTTATATTCTGATAAGACTGTGTGAGACTGAATCTAAACTCTCAGACCCAGGACTTGGTCTGTTCAGTGGGAATTGCTTGTATGTCAGCCTCCTCTGACTTCAGGTTACTCTTCTGGATGTTTCAAAGACAGTAGATTGCCACTCAATCAAAAGACATTTAAAACTAAACTATAAAGAATTGGAGCCAAGCAGTCTTGAGATCAGAATATCAAACTTCCTCTCTTCATTAAGTATTAATTTAACCCTAAGTTTTATTGGACTTGATTTATAGTAGGGTGCAGTATTGCAGTAAACAATTTTAACTTTGTCGTGCTATAGGAGCACAAAATTGTTATGAAAAATAAACAAGACTAATGGGCTAGAAAAAAGTAACATTTCTTCTCCCAACCCCTGGCTAAATAGGGAGAAGTACTTCAAGAATATTGTACTGTTGCAGAATGGATCTGGAACTTGTAATGAAGTGTCCTACATATGGCCGTTCATAAGACCAAAGAAGTAAACCATATCTGTGTCTATGACTTAGTTATATCCATAATTCTGAAATAATTTCCCCCCTGTAATTCAAGCTCATCTTTCTCATTCCACTAAGAGAGTGGTCTTTAGAAGATACTTGAACATGTGTTACTTCTTGCTGTCTACTGCCCTCTTATGCTTTGTAGGTATAAAAATGGCAACAGCTTGCTGGATGTGTGTAGTTAGGCAGCATGAGCAGTACACCCACCCAGGCTTTACTCTTTTCCCTAGTTCATGCATGTTGCACAGCTGTCTGGTAGATACTTCCCCGTGTTGGCTTCCTCTTTTCTGTCTGTACTCTGTATTGCTGGATTGTGGAGGCTGACATCTGGCTATGTAATTCATGGGAAGGTTGCAACATGCCTGTGTGTAAGGAGAATGGATGCAGTTCTACTCTGGAGAAGCAGGGAACTGGACCTCCCCAGAACATCCTCACCAATTTCCACATATAGTACAGTTGGGCCCCCCCCCCCCCCCCCACCTCCCCCCCGCTGGGGGCGAGCAGGGGGGGGTGGCAGTTTGGCTCCAGCTTACTATTTCCCACCTGTGGGATACCTTCAGCAGGCCTGCAGGAAGGGAAAAAAAGTGATGTCTGCTTGTTCCATCTATCCCATATAACTTCTTCTATCCTCTTTA